GCTAAAGTAAATAGCCATTGAAACTTTTGTGAAATAAAAGCCCTTAAAAGTCTTATAAATTGCTATAGTTTTTAATAGCGACCAATGTTGTTGGACCCAATGTACTGTAGTTGGTTTTTAATTTAAACATTGAAACCATTACAGTCGACATAAATTGACTTCTCTTCTCGAGCTTTAGTCCAGTTTGTTTCCTTGTTTATATCATTGATTCAGGTTGGTTGACAGCAGTTGACCAAAGGTTGACAGCATTCATTTGACATGTCACTCATTGTATAATTATTGGCCCACTCAAGTCAGGGCATTCATAATATGATAAACTTTAAGAGTTTCATCTCTTGTCACTTACTTATACAGTGTATCTTGCCGCCTTTTATTTTAAATCGCGCGCGTCTCCTATGTGCGTATCCAGGTGAACAGGGGTAGTGGGTTTATCCTGGGCTTTCTGTGACCCCGGACCCCCATCCGTGATCATATCAGATCATGTCAGAGGCTCAGCATTTAGCATAATAAAAACAATTCAAATTGGTGTGCAAATTATTAACTACCGTATCTTAAAAAGAAACGTGACCCTAACTCTAACCTAACCGAAAAATATTGTATAAAGGCAATCTTAGGAAAAATCGTAAAGGAAAAAAAATGAGAACAAAAAACAAAACATTGGCCATTACAGGATCAATGTTACAGCATGTTAGATTGCACACAACGCCGGCCTAGACAAACACACAACCGGCACTCGCTGAAATACAAATGCAGAAAATCTAAATATATAGTGGTCACATATAAATAAAACGATCCACTCATATTTAGTATAAAATATTGTGATGGTATGGCATTTGTTTTTCTAGACACGTTATTAAGTTGCAGACTGTTGCAACATTGGCACTCCCCAAGTTGCAAGGAAAATGGCGAATTTTAGTTACTGTCAACTGCTTTTACAAAAATACCCATATCTCAAGATCAATGTTATAAAAAACTTTGAAATTTTGCAGTGGGTTAAAATGATAAATGATTAATCAATTCTATTTTAAATGAGCTCCCACACTTAAATATATCATTAGATTTTTGGGTGAGAATTCTTGGTTTGTGTAAATTTAAGTCCCTGACATTTTGTTTCTTCATGACACCCAACATCTGAAGGGCAATAATTCAATAACCCAACATAAATGGAGAAATATTTTTTGATTCCTGGATTGGTACACATTTATTTTCAAATTAGTTTTCATCTTGTAGGGTATAAATTACAAAATAATGAAACGCTATAAAAATTTGCTTGGGCATAGCTCAGGCACACTCAGGACATCTAGTTTACAATGGAGAACTTGAACTTCAGAACTTGTTGTTCAAGTCCCAAAAACTCTGTAACCCAAAAACACAGTGTTTGTACCTCTTTGAAGTTTTTAAATAGCTCAAATATGTTTGGAAAAACACGAAGTACAAAAATTACTAATTAAAATATAAACAAAGGATGAAAAAGGTGAGAAAATTTTAAAATGTTTGAGGTGTTTTCAATTCTGACTTTGACAGCCGGCATTTTCAAACGCAGCGTGCGGTGACAAAACAAAAGGCTTTTTATTTCGCTATTAAGAGCACTGAAAGTCGTCAAAAAGAGATAAACACTTTTGAATGTTCATCAGGTAAGAATTTTAACTGAAATTCCTTTTGTTTCTGTTGAGAAAACAACGGATTTGTGGCTAAAACGTCGTGCGCGCCAATGTAGGTTGCTGTAAAATGTCAGACAGGCGGTTTCTTTTGAAATCTGACTCTAGTTTGAAATCTGACTCTAGCTTGAAATAAGTCCTTTTCAAGGACCAATTGTATAAAAATATAATATGTATGCTCAAATAAAATGAATAATCTAATATTTAGGCATTTTAGATTGCTATAAAAGAGTGAAATAAAGTATTTCATCTTTGGTTGTTTGTCAGACGAGAGTAAACACATTGGTGACACTTTGTTGCGCATGCAGTTTTCAAAAGATAAACTGCTAAAAATATAGCTTTTATTTCACCAAATAGCAAAGTATCTTCCAGATATTATTAAAAGAGCTCAAGCGAAGTAATTCCATGATAAATAAGTGAACAATGAGACCAAAAAAGCGACTAAATTACAATTTTGGAAAGTACATAAATTTAATGGCTTCCCGCAAAAGAAGCCATTTCAGAGGAGAACGGCATTTTGTAAACTACTCTCCTGACCTATTTTAAACTTTTCCTTCAGGTAATCGATGAGTACTTCTTAGAAAATGAGCGTACATTAGTTTTATGATGTGCTTTATTGATTTAAAAATTTTATGGGGATATATGAAGCAATAAAGTGTATTTTAGAAGCTTTTCAAATCCCTGTCATGAAGGTTCAGAATTCGCACGCGCCAAGTAACGGCATAATTCAATACACTGATTTTAAACCACATTATCTCTGAAATGAGAGCTCGTTTCGAGACAAAGTTTATAGAAACAGATATAGTATTCATTGTAGAGTATTCTACTTAGTTTTAATGCGGTTTTACTCGAAATTTTTCTTGCCAAAAATGTATATACGCACATGACAAGTTGAACCTACTGTCTTCTGAAAGTACTTCGGCTAAAATAACAACTTGAGCAAGACGACCAACAGTAGGGTCACGAAAACAGTCGAAATCATGCCATAAAATGCACGAAAAGTTCTTCTAAAAACTTAGTTTTAAACTAGATTGAACTTGCTTTAATGCTATATCGTATTTCATGAAAACATGCCAGGTATTTTCATTCAAAAACACGCTCAAAAAAATCGTAACTACTCACTTGGATTTAGTGTTCATGTTTCTTGCGATTTCCCACTTCACTTTTCCGTTAGATTGAAAGAAATTGCTGTTTTTCTGGCTGAAAATCGCGCGACTTGATTTGGACAAGAACTTGACTTGAAACATATGCACACTCCCTTATGTTTTACAATATATTTTATATGTAAAACACTTTGAAAACCTCTTCTTTTTCATCCTTAAAACTTGCTGCAAAGTCCTATCTTGTGACACTTTGCGGTTGTCACAGGTTTTGTAAAAAAATAGAGTTTTAAAATCGAAAATCTTCGCAAACTTTTGATCAATTTTCTCGCATGATGTATCGTTTGAAAGCCCGAATTTTGCACTTTATACTCGTGACCGTTGCTAGGCAACCCGATAAATACGCGCTAGACAATCGTGCCCGGAAGTTGACGTGTCATCCAGGGCGCATGAGGGCGCAATGAGACTTACCCCGTTCCCAATTCCAGGGCGCATGGGGGCGCAATGAGACTTAATGAGTTAAGGACCTCAAATTTCAAAGAGGTTAGTTTGTGAACTTTCTCAGAGTGTATTTTTAGACAAAATAAACTATATTATAATACAGCATTTGTAAATTCTGAAAGCTGATTGGTTAAGAGCTGTGTTGATATAACTCGTAGAAATTGGGAAAACTCGAAATTGTTTGAAAACACTCCGCCCTTCGGGCGTCATGTTTCCACACAATTTCTCGTTTTCCCAATTTCCACTTGTGTTGATATAACTGTATATCAATACGGAAAAAATGTTTTATGTTTGTTAAGTATAAACCAGTCATATTTGTTCTTTGATGGTAAATTCGGTATTGGAATGATGGCCCATGTATCTGAAAATATTTCCACTTTCTAAAGTTGTAAAATCCCTCTGGAATTTTGGGTAAAACCTTTGGGCAATGTTATTTAAGTAATTTACTAGATGCCACTGACATGATCTGATATGATCAAGGACAGGGGTCACAGAACGCCCGGGATAAATTGACTACTGCGAACGGGCTGTCAGGTTCGAAATGCTATATAGAAGGCCCCCTATACCTCTTCACAATATGCTTTCACGTAAAAATATTTTGCCTTTTCACGAGTCATGGATTAAGAAAATCATCGATCACGTTTCACGGCTAAGTAAAATAAGCCCTTCACGCAAAAAGTATAGGGGGCCCGATCACGTTTCACGGCTAAGTAAAATAAGCCCTTCACGCTTCACGCAAAAAGTATAGGGGGCCCTCTATATAAGCTAATAATAGAATCTTAAATAAACTGAAAAACATACAAATACAAATCACCTGATATGTTGTTATTATATGTTTGACTATAGAAGTATTATTATTATATGACATATTAGTGCAATATAGTGTTATAAATTACAGACCAACGCTTGGGCTCTGTGGCAGCAGAGCAGAATGATGCGCAGAATGGACTTTTACAGCCCTTTAAATTTTAAAACAAATGTAAAAAGGTGTTCCAATGTCGTATATTAAATTCTAACAAAGAAAAACTACTTAATATAGGCACGTGATTTACCTAATGTTGTCAATTGGGTAGCAACGAAATCTATAAAACAACGTGAGCCAAAATTGTCCACCGACTCTACAGTCTCTACCGAAGTATAGTTTCGAGAGAAAGCTTTAAACTAAAAACATTACCAAAAATTGAAAACCCTTTAAAAACTTACCGTTAAGACAGGCTGTTCTTTCATTCTCCCTTTATCCATGGTCGAATTTCCAGTAGAATTGTTTATAAACCAGTACAGCGATGTAGCGAAATTTCCGGCCGTCTTTCACAACAAATATTAACATCACAACAAGTCAATAACTTGACACGCATCGTTTTCCATACAGAATCGTTTTCCCTGTCCATTGAGTTATAATTTCCAAAACTAACCAGTCGCTATAACGTAAAATAAGCGGTTATTTGTGAACAAAAATCCCCTTTGATGACACGAAGTAAATATTAAACCAGCGCCATCTTGTCTTCTCCAAATATTACAAATTTTCCCGCCAAAACTCTTGAAATGACGTCACAGGTGTGATGGCACTGAGCATGCGCGTGTCTGTTTTTCACGTTCAGAACTTCATGTAACCAAGCTTGTTCTGGCTCGAACAATATGGCCGTTCAAATTTTCCAAAAAATCATACGAACAAAACTAGCTTCTTCTCAGCACGTACATATAGCATACGCTTTCTAAAACCACGAAGATTGTATCGAGGAAATTAAATTGACCAAACAGTGTTTCAAAATTGGAAAATTTAGCATCGGAAACGGAAATAAAAAAAGTCGCTGGTTTTAAAAATACTTGGTTATCAAACTAGTCTTAGAACTTCGATACCTTTTATATTTATAGCGACGAGATATCTAGCGTGCTGGACCGCTGGCTCTCGACATCCGTTGTTTATTTACAAAGACAGCTAAGAGTTTGCTGTATGACGGGGAGGAGGGTTTTGAGGCAGTGAGACTGATTGTTTTGTTTATAATGTCGCAAGGGGTTTAATAATTACAGAGGGTTCAGCAAAAACAATGCAAGTTAGCCGAAGCTACTGAAATGATTAATACAGGTCCGTGCCGAAATTATGTTTGTGGCATCTAATCAGCCTAACCCCAGGATTCTGGATTCTGAGCCAGTAGCCGGCTATTTAGTAAATTACCAGCTGTATAGTCACTATATAGTCAAACTTGAATTTTATAAGATAAACCAACCCCAAACCCTTCTCTAACCCCTTACCTTTCGAGAGTTACAAAAAGTTTTTATCGATCAAAAGTAACTCTTTTGATGAGAGCATGGGCATCCCCCCCAGTTTCTTGGGCAAACAAAGCCAGTCGGGCAGTATTCGCTTCACAGTCGGGCAATATTGGCTTATTATAAAAATAAATGGGACAAATTCTGTCAATTTTGTGGGAAATATGCTATCTAATAGGACTAATAGGAATTTTTCATAATCACTCCTCCCCCCCTTTTTTTTTGACAACTTAGGAACAATCCGAAAATGTCAGGCAAATTTCTTTCCGCCCCCCTAATTTTTTCCTTCCTGTACGCCCATGGATGAAGGGAAGGTTTTCAATAATTTTCAGGCGGGGTTTTTCTATGGTTTTGAATTTTTGAAAAATTTCCCATGGTCCCCTTTGCTAAGCTAGTCAAAAAACCCCTCAAGACTAGTCCAAACTTTCGAAAACATTAATCCTTTCATCAAAACAATTAGTTTCGATCGATAAAAACATGTTTTAAAAAATTTTGGCCAAATGCTTTATTCGCATGACCTATTTACTTTATTATTAAAAAAAAGGAGTATTGGACTACCTGGAGAATAGCGACAGCATTTCCTGACCGACTCTTTTGAACCATGAACATCTGATGAAAAATCCTCTTCAATCGTCCTTTGGCCCTGTTGTGCCGACTTGCATTTCAGAGGAATGGTAAGATAATATGTTACATGATGGGAGCAATTCAGAAGAGGAAAGTATACTTGATTGGGAGGGGGGATGAAAAGGGCAGAACAGATGGATAGAACACAGGATGAAAACAAGTACAATTGAAACTAAAATACCATTGAAAAAGATCAACACAAAAATGATTGAATACCGTATAGGAATTCAGTGAGGCATGTTTAGGAGTAGGGCATGGATCACAACTTTATTTCCTTCAATACATCTGTTTTATATGTTTTAAACATATTGGCAATAGCTGTGCTTATTTAATGGCAACGAAAAGTCTGTTTCTGTCTTAGGTAAACTGCTGCAATGCTGTCTTCACTCTGCAAAATCAAACAGATGATCATTACTACAGTTGGTTAGGACAGGAGACCAGGGGTGGATCTACTGGTGGGAGGGGTGTGGTACACCCCCCAGTCACAGAGTAGATACATATACAGAGTTATAACTAGTGTACCCACTTTTTTTGTGTGCATGCTCGGCAAGTAATACTAAATGCATGCATCTGATTGGATGATGACTTGCTTTAACTGCTTGTGGAACTTGCCGAGCATGCGCAGTTGATCATTTTTTGTCCGGTCGCCTGAAACAAAGTGGGTACATGAAAACGTAAGCTTCCACAGTGTTTACATTGGTCAGTACAGCTCTGTATGTATCTACTCTGTGCCCCAGTGTTGTATGAAATGTATGGAATGTATTGAATGTAGGAAAATTGGCATTTCAGAGCTTTGAATTTTTAAACATTTTCTGGGGGAGAATGCCCCCAGACACCCACCCTGTCTAACAAATCAGGCCAGATCTGCCCCTCGAGGAGGCTAGCATGGTGCATTAAATTAAATAGAGTCATCTCAGTTAGGCAGCAAATAGACTACTGGTACAGTGATAGTTAAAAAATTAGTATCTCACCTGTCAAAGAGCAATGGATCGGCTGTTGTAGATAAATCTTGCAGCAATTTCTGTATCCCCATGTCTCGAAACACAGTCTGTCTTTCTGGTGCACCTTCATCTGTACTCCAAGCTAGGTTTGATATACAATATATAGCGGCCATCTTTAGTTTCACATTGTCTTGTGTGATATAATACTTCAATCTCTTCAAAACTCCGTCATCTGACATCAGATAATCTTTTGCTGTCCTGCCGTTTGCAATGTTGCCAAGGATGCACAATGCCTGCAAAGCATTTAGTAAAGTACAACATGACTTCGGGGTTAGTACGCTGCTTTAAAGAAATAATGTAGAGACCGATTGCACTCATTTACTTAAACTAGAATAGCGAGAAACATGTCTGACATACATGAATGTCTGGATTATAACCATGGCTGACAAATGTCAGGTCAGGTGTACAGTTGGTCAGATATTGGTTAATAATGGTTGGCTAGCTTTTCGATGTTTACATTGATTGGCCATGTTCATCACTTCCTGCATGAAAAATCATGCTTCACTTTTGGTAAGCAGTCCTGACAATCAATGATCTTTCTTGGTCCCTATTGTTTTTGAATGTTCTACATGCATGATTACCATAACTTGGTACCATAAACTTTTGTTGCCCATCACAGCGAAGTACTTAATATAAATGAAAACTGCAGTTTTATCATATCGGTCAGCATGTCCATACAGAATAAAATTAATCGGCCATTTAGAAGCTTTCTGTTCTGCAAAATAGCTGTTGATAGTTTTAAATTAAGATGTCTGATTACCTGTTCTTTGACTTCCCAAATTTGTGGACCAGTTTCGTCAATGATTGGTTGCAGATAACACATCACATCTCTGCCATGGAGAGCCATGATATGGTCAATATTCTTAAAAAAAAAATACACACACATGAGTCGGTATAAGCATAACCTGATATCTAACCTGAGATCAGGCTCTATTTTACAAATAATAGCCTGACACAATCCTTAATCCGATCACTTTCCACCCACAGCAAAGTTTATATTTACTATCCAATCAAAATGTCGCAGGAGAAATTTAAATTTCACACAACGACAACAACAATCTAATTATACTGTAGTTGTGATCACTATAAATATATCAACAACTTACAATAGTATACTCTAATTAGCACCAACCAATCAAATGACAGATTAAAAAATCTTTTGTCTCATAAACCAATCAGATTTACAACCGAAATACGGTTGTAAAAACATGGACTTTTGTTAAGGTTTGTATCAGGCCTATTTATTTATTTATAGACCTGATCGCAGGTTAGTACACTACATGTATATTAATTAAGCACAGTGCAGGCATCCCTTCTTAAAGTGTCATCTATGTGAAAGAAGTTGTTTCCGACAGAAAGGTTATTTACTTACATCTCTGCCAGAGAGAAGATTTCTCATCAATCCCAGCGTCTTCATAACAACTTGAGTGTCGACATCTTCCAATAAACTACATGTAAATAAAATTCAAACCAGGTGATTCTGGAATATATATTTATATTGCTTTTGCATTGTCTTTCTGTATATTATGGGGACACAGATCAAAAGCTATGGTATGGAAAATGTCGTATTCTTCAAACTAAATTGATGATCTTATATGTACATCACAAAAAAGTACAAACCACTAAAAATGGTCAACTTACCGAAATATCTGCCGTGTTCCCAGTTTCTCTAAAATTCTGTTCTTGGTATTTTCATCAGACTGGTACGCCATATTCTACAAAGTCAAATTGGATATTACAGTCAGTAAGAGGAATTTCTGCACAATGATTTTTCAAAAGCATGTTAAGTTTTATGCACAAAAACATGAATTAATAAGCAAGTCCCTCTTACCATTAAACCCCAGACTCCATTTAATCGCAATGCGTTGTTCTCGTGTTTTGTCAGTTCAACTAAGAGTTTAACCGCTCCGGCTTCAAGAATGGACTATAGAAAATAAACATGCATATTGATCAATACAAATATACCAATTAGTGTAAAATAAAGACTGCACATAGGTTCTACAGCAATTTTTAACGCCACTGCCGTCGATTGATTTCAGGGAAATTTGAGGCCTGATACTATCGCTTCATGGGATATTGATTATTATGCCACAAATAATTTCACTTTCTATATCTTTACCTCTTTACTGGGAGAAAACTCCAACAGTAGATTACATACAGCAGACGAAGCAACTTTGAGAACTTCCTCTGATGCTCCCTGTAATAACTTCATCAACGGTTTCCACACAGCATTGTCTTGAAATGTTGTCCTCAGTTGGTGAACAGATCTTGACAGACTGTGCAGACATTTTACTGCTGCAAGTTGTACCGTGATTCGGGAATCTTCGATACCCATCACAACATGATCCATCGTTGATTCCGTTTCAATGATCTGGAAGAGATCGTTAAAGTTTTCACCTCTGTTTTACCCTCAGTTAGGGAACGGCAGACTTATTTCTGGCGGGGGTGGCACCAAAGAGAGATGTATTTCTTGGTAAAAATTTGGCTCATCCAACCATTAAAAAGTTTAAAAAAAAATCAGAAAATGATCAAGATAGCAACTCTGATTGATTTACATTTAATTGTATTGACATACAGTACAACAGATGAGATTGCAGGTACTGTAGTCATGCTTTGGGAATGACAATAAATTTTTATTACCCAACCCTTGAGTAGTTTTGTTTTTCATTCATCCAACATTTTACTCACTCAAAATTTTGTTCATGCAACCCTTTTTTCTTCTGTGCCATCCCTCGCCATAAGAGGTGACTGGCCCCTCAGCCTAACCATCTTTAATCCAAACCCAACCCCACCAACACCTCAAACCCAATCTCACCTTAATCCGAATCCTAAGCAACATTACACAAATTAACATTATTGATATCAACTTACTTTTTTTCGTATGTCCTCGTCACTGGCTCCGAGTGAGGCAAAAGCCTTTAATGCAGTCTACAAGTAAAAAAACCATTATTGTCGTTCCAATTGAAGTGTTCCTCAAATATTGATTCAATACATTACCTTCGGGCTGACCAATTCATTTCATCAAGTTCCTCAAGATATTCATACACTTCCTAGTATAATTGTAAACTTCCTGTTGAATAGTTTGAATGCACCAATCACCTTTGTTGTTTGTGCAACTAACCAATCATAAATAGAAAGGAAGTGACCAGAAATTATAAAATTCTTGGAACTGGCTCTTTCACAGGAAGTGTATGAATATCTCGAGGAACTTGATGAAATGAATTGGTCAGCCTGAGGTAATGTATTGAATCAATATTTCAACTGGAACGACAGTAAACATTATACAGTATACCAGATACATACTGTACATTAAGTGGCCATCTCACTCGATATAAGGGAGTGAGTGAGTTTGAGCCAAAATCTCTAAATTCTTGTTTATGGCAATTAAGTAGTCCCATTTTGATTTTTACCAAGCATTTTTACCTGAGTTTTGTCTATAACTCATTTTTGAGAGCACTCCAAAATGATGCTGATGTCAGCAATTTTTATGTTTTCAAGAGGAACTGAATTATTTAATGTTTGCATGGTGATAAAACATATAATAGTTTGTTTGTGGAAACACCATGTAAATTTATTACTGCAAAGCTTTCGATCCGTATTAAAGCCCGGATCTTCATCAGTGCTAATAATATGTGACTTGTTTAATTCACACGCCCTTTTTATATAAAAAGGGTGTGTGAATTATACAAGTCACATATTAATAGCACTGATGAAGATCCGGGCTTATGGATCGAAAGCTTTGCAATAATAAATTTACGTGGTGTTTCCACAAACAAACTATTATAGAACTGAATTGTTTGAATTCAAAATTTGGGGGGAACTTTTGTAGTAATAACAAGCACTGACTCGTCCCCAGTCTGTGAGCACACACAAATTGGAAAGTACGGGCAGGGGTGAGGGTTAAATGACATGCAAAACATATAAATTAAAACATCCAATTTTGTGACTCTTGTTTAAAATTTTTCTAGTTTCAAGTGTAACCCAAGCATTGTGGTGTTCATCCAGGATTTCAATTTGCCCCCCATTATCGCGCTCCCAAAGTTCACCCTCGATGCCCCCTTTATAATCTCTATGGTTATTAGACGTAAAAAACAGTGGTAAAAACGAATTAATGTAACCTCTCTCATTCTTGCATATTCCTCATCATTCAGGTTATTTTTCCTCAGATAGTTTGCTAATGTTGGAATAAGATGATCGGCAATAGCAGCAGTTTGTTGCAAATTAGCGTCTTCTTCGATCAAATATCCTACAAGGAATAACTTCCACTCATCACAATGATACGAGTCAGTTCAACTGAGGGTATCCTGATAAAAGATCCAGGAGCTAGTGCTTGTAGATAGTTTATTAATTATAGATTTAGTTCAAAATCCATATTTCAATCACACTACTGGCATTTAATCCAATGAGGTGGAAAATATTTTGGGGGTGCAAAATATTTTGAAGGTGCAAAACACTTTGGGGGTGCAATATATATATATATATATATATATATATATATATATATATATATATATATATATATTTTTTTTTTGGGGGGGGGGAGAAGTGCCACCCAGAAAATCTGCCTAAACCTGATATCCCCAGAAACCTGATACCCCCAGAAACCTGATACCCCCAGAAACCTGCTGAGGCGAGAAGTAGCAGAGGTGAAGATACTTACCCAGAACCTCAGCAGATTCAGCTCGAATAGAAATGTCCTTATCCTTTTTACAAAGTTTTACCAAACATGGCAGTACCTAAAAGTTTAATTCAGTTTAGTTTCACAAAAAAACATCACATCTAACAGTGCTTAAGTTATCCATTTCAAAACTTTTCCTTCAAACGTTTGAATGAAAGTTGTGTGGCATTTTAATGTAAACAAATCTCACTTGGTTGTCAGATTGTTGGGATCCGAGATTCCGAGGTGGCGAGGTCACCACGTTACTTGCAAGTGACTGGAGCTAAATGCAATCCTGGGTCAGAAGGTCTTGAGCATGCTAGTATAGTAGAAAATTTCAATTTTTCCCACTTAATCTTTTTGCAATATTTCCTGACCAGATTTAACCTTTTGACCTTTCAAAACATTTTCTTTTCTATTTTCAAACTTTGCATGTTAGACTATTTTCCTGCCAAATTTTATCAAATCTCAAGTCATGAAGCTTTGAGTTAATGTTTCCTATTACCAAAACTGACTTTATCAGGCCCAATTGCTCAAAACGTTTTCCCCTGGTACACAGTCGCAGGGCTAACTGTAAAGTAGGTACATTTATACTACAGGCATGGCATAATCTTATGAAACTCTTACCTTGAGCTGAACCAGTGGATCCGTTGTTGGCAAAGCACCAGCACGACAGAGATTTGTCAGGCTGTAGTTTGAAAAATAAGTTTTGTTACAGTATTACATAAACAGTACATCTTTTCAAAACTCCATAAATTGTGTGTGAGACCTACCATTTTGCTGCAGACAGTCGGATAGCATCAGGTTTATCTCCAGGCAACAGTCTTTTCAATACTTCAATAAGACTTTCATTCTTAAATGTCGCTGGAAGAAATATTTCATATGCATGATTACATTTGACACATTTCAGATTTTTACTTTTTCCCACGATACAAGTAACCATTTGCTGAAACAGTTCAACTTTGATTAGTTAATGTTTTCTCCCAGTGCTATCTGGTATACTGAACACAACAAACATAGAAAGCCAACTATTACCAGGCTAGTCTCTTTGAGATTATTTTAGTTGGCTTTTTACCACAATTTGTGTTACAATTATACTGTATCTTTTTTTTTCTCATTGTAAATTTTTTTTGAATGGTAATAAATTTCTTCTTCTTCAATTGGAAAATTTAAAAAATCCAGGCTATATCACACACTTCAATAGACAGTAGCTTGTTAGAAATACCTGTTTTCATCATATCTGCAATGATTTCATTTTCTAATGATAGTGCAGCATAACATTGTAGAGCTGGCAGCTGCAGTTTGGGATTGCTACTGCCAACCAGTGGTACCAGTGCTTCTATTAAACCACTCCTGGCCAGCAACGTCTGATGACTTGAATTCTACAAAACAAATAACACATTTTAGTACAGAGTACTAAAGTACAAAGATGTTGTACTGTATCTACAGTATTTAACAAATAAGTCTATCACTTGATATAATACCTGACAACATCTTGCCAGAATGTGAGCTGCACATTCAGATTCCACATGTGTACCACATAATAGCTGGATCAGACAATTGATATTTGATGTATCCTGAGAAAAAAATTCCAAAATACAAGTTACAGAAGTACTGTATAATAATATGATTCAGTCATCTTCTAGTATTTCTTGTACACAATGAAAATTTGCAGCAAAATATTGGGTAACCATATGATTTAAACTCTCAAATGGTTATTCTGAAATGAAGAGATAAACATTTACCTCGTATATTGGATCAACTGGTGTTTGGTGTGAAATATAAAATGTTCTTAAAGAGCGGATACACGCTTCAGCCAATCTTCTGTTGGAATTCTTTAACCCTGAAACAAAAGAAATGTAAATACTGTTAATTAACCAATTAAGCTGCAATGTGCCCTACTTTTTTATTTCACTCTGTGACAGATGTCACACTATTTTACTAGTCAAGTGACATCTGTTTTAGAGTGCGTCTGTTTTGTTTGTCCAGTCACTCTGGGTCTGAAATTTAAAATTATTTTCAGTACCCCACAGGATAGTCTCTTTCACAGCCTGTTCACAGGTAACATCGCACCCGCGAACAGGCTGCGAAGGAGACTATCCACAGGAAAGCCTAGATTCAAAGTTTCAGTATACCATCTGAGAATCCACTATCCCACTTCTGGATGATGATTACCGGTACCATAAATTTTAGCATCTCTGGACCATCAAAGTACTGTACATATACAGTACATGACTTTCATTGTTATAAATTACAATCACAACAGAAGACTCAACAACTACACCACCAAGTTGGAAATCAAAGACTGGTTATTTTGAAGAAGGCAGACTCATAGTATATTCAAAGCTACATGGACTATATGTATTGGGAGACATTGACTTTGTAATATCAAATCAATTAATCACAGTTTGGTATCCAAACCAAATTTTAGCATCCTGTGGATATTGGGATACTGCAAATTTCAGACCATTGATACTGCATATTGCCTGCTTGCTTGATAGCCTTTCACACAAAATAGGAGGAGTGAAGTGAAATTTTGGTGGGGTTGAACACTTTATTAGAGGGGTTAGAGAGATTCCAGGGGGTTTAACCCCCGCCAGTAAATCCACCCATGCTTTGCATGCACATTACTTACATCGAATTAAATCTATCCAATAGGAACTGTTAATGGCATGTTTATTTATAAAACCAACATTCAGTCTGGAAATTATTTATGGCATACATATCTACTACATATCAGATTTGATTGAAAGGCACACAATTTCGACCAATGTGAATTTTGTGTTGTGTGGACAATGCATATTTTGTTTCTTGATGCGTTGTTGGCAGTCCCTCCTTCCTCCCGAGGGATTGCTCGCGATCTAACTTTGTATGTAATTAACTGTCAACTTAATGTAATCTCACACAAACCTTGCAGAAATAATGGAATGATTGAATGGGCCAAAAGTATAGTGACGGTTTCATCATCAGCTGAAAGTGTTGGAGAAAATAGTTTGCAAAACACCACTGGTTAAATTGTCTTTCACTTTTCATGCTAATGATTTTACCTCTAGCAAGACTCCCAAGAATTACAACTGCCTCTACAGCAAGGTCAATACTTGTTTCTTCTCTTCGTAACAATTCAACAAGACTAACAGATAAGAAATAATCAAAAATGGTTTCATTCATAGGATATTAACCCATTGAGCTGCAGAGCTTCCCATTGATGGGTAAATGGGTTAACTAGAGACATCAATTTTCAGATTTTTTTGGTTATTATCCATTAAGCTGCAGAGCTTCCCCAATGACGAGTAAAATCATTTGGCATTAGACAAGTAAAAAAGTCTGGCATTAGACAAGTAAAAAAATAAGTAGGGCAGTTCATTGGGTTAATTTGTTGAATAAAATATCAATGAAGAGGTGGAAATGAAAACAGTGTCTTAATAAAACAGAAAGCTGACTAACTTTCCTGATGAAGGGCCTTCGCTCGAAACGTTGAAGTTCTCCCGTATTTTTCATGTAAGTTGTATCCCTATCCAGGCACAGATTTTCTGGGGGGGTTGCAGGGGGAGGTTTGATTTGCACATTTGCACCCCCCCCCCAAAGGCATTTGGGACCCCCACAAATTACATATATTTTGATTTGATAGTTTTATATTTGATTATTCTTGCTACTAAATTTGTAGAATTACCAATATTATGGTCTCAGATCTCGCCATGCAGGCCTAGAAAACAAATTTTGTCAAACTTTTTCCTTGACCTTTCCGGGCGTTGCCACCACGCCCCGGCCAAAGCAAGCAGCAGCACCCCCCCCCCCCCAGATATTTATCCACCCCCGAACGAAAATCCGTCTCTGTCCCTATCAATCCGAAGCTTTCTTATTATTGGCACTATACCTGGTACACTATCTGGCAGAGACCATGCATTAAGGCATGCATTCTTACCTTGATGCAATATCATGTTGAATAAATGCCTTTTTATTTGCCTTGCTCCCAATTACCACATTCTTTATATTCCTAGTAAAGTAGTAATCAAGATAAGATTGACTTAAATATAACATGGCTTTGGTGGCATGGTCGTCAGAGCAAGTGCCTTTCTCCTATGAGTTTGTAGGTTCGAGTCAGTCAACGCTCTGCCGAAAGTCGTGGGACTTTTCCGAGTGCTCCGGTTTCCTCCACAGGGAAAGTTGACAGGGTGGTAAAGATAAAATAGTCTAGGCTAAGTATGTAATTAGGTAAGTACAATATTGATGTAAAGGGCATTTGATCACATGTAAAGTTGCACTATAGAAATGTCATCGTAATTCTTTTTTTGTGTGTGTTTTGATGTCATGTACTCAGGTGAATACAGTATATAGAGAATAATACATGGGTGCGCAGAAATACCAGATTTATTTCGAGTGTCGAACATGGTATCTCACGAGTGAGCGCAGCGAACAAGTGAGATATCATGTTCAACACTCTAAATAAATCTGGTATTTCCAAGCAACCATGTATTTTTCTGTTTATTATATAAACAAAATTCAGTGAAAAACAATAAAACGTCTGTGGCAATGCGTTTTACAACAAATGATATTTTCACACGTAAAAATATTGTATTTTTATGTGTGTAATTAAATACGATTTTTCTCAGTGGCCAAAAAGTTTAGTATATAACACTTATGTTTATATAATAAAATAATGTTTTTTATGTTACTCTGAATGTATATCCACACCGGGCAGGCTGAAAAGTTAGCCTGACCACGGTGGGAATCAAACCCGCGACCTTTAGGATACCAGTTTGTAGCTCAGTTGGCAGAGCATTGGACTAGTATCCCAAAGGTCACCGTGGTCAGGCTAACTTATGAGCCTGCACGGTGTGGATATACACTCAGAGTAACATCAAAAACATTGTTATCGTAATTTGTAACCTAACAGTATCTGCCACACATCCTACATCTGTGGTATATTACCAAGGTTATAAATAAAGAAACAGCCCATACCTTGCGGCCTCAAGACTTATCTCTGCATCTGAAGATAAAAGTTGTTCAACTAATCCCATTCCATCCCCTGGATCCTGAGAAATATATTTTGAAGTGATGATTAATATCTTGTATTAATATCTTGTAATTGCAGCCAGAGCTTAAATAAGTTGTGAACAATTTGTATAAACAGTCAATTTACAATAAGCTGCGGTTTATTTAGACCTAGCCCTCAGCCCTGGGCTTATTTTAGCTAGGGATGAGCCAATCGCCGAAATTGCCAATTAGCCAATTCAATTAATCGGTGGCCGATAATATGTAATAATCGGCCGATTATTTCCATTTACACATTTACCAGTAGGCGTTAGTTGTCCTGATGAACCTCAGATGCTTTTGAGCATTAAAATGAAACTTGAGAAGCTAATGCAGCAAAGCCAAAGCTCTCAGCTACAGTATCTCTGGCATTCATTCATGTCTCTTCCTCCCTTCTAAAGCTGAAAACAAATTGAAAATTTTCCCACTTCTTTTTCATGACATTCATTTTTGTCTCATGTAGTGGTCTTAATTCTGTGCGCACACAATGTTTTCCGGTCATGTGGGTTACATGACTATAAGTGTTAATTTCCGTACTTTATAATAATAATGCATTTCCGATGAAGAGACAAGAGGTGAGATAAATGCAAGATTTGTACGTATTTGTGTAGCTGCTGCATGCCGCTCTATAACGTGAAAAGATTGTTAAACATGTGCAAAAATCACAATAAACACACAGATTTTCATTTATTTCTAATAGAAAAAAGAAACTGGTCAATAATCAGCACAAGGCTGATTATACAGAAATAATCGGCCGATTACAGATTATTACAAAATTGGCCGATTATCGACCGATTATTTGGCTCGCATAAATGGCCCTAATGAGTATTCATTCTGTTAAAACTAGTATATTATTAACTAAGATAATGTTTAATATTAATTTATAGTGTTTCAACTTTTTATAAATAGTGCTTTTGCTCTACCATTTACTACGAAAAGTTTAAAAATAAAAGGAACAAAAACCCATGAACAATACCAGCAGAATTATATATAACTAGATTATATTTACCATAAAAAGCAAGCTTCCTACGTCTCTTTTCATAATCCAAAATATTTAAAAAATATTTTTGACATGAAGTTATGGTCGGTAACTTTACCCTGGAATAATTTTCTCCGTACGGGTAATCGTACCCGCCGTTTTATGTCAGAAATCAAGCCGTCATTGCTGATAAAATCATCTACATTTTTATTAATAAGCTTTATTAAATTACACTTCTGTAACTGATAATGTTTCAAATATATGGAAATAATTTATTATGTTTTTTTTTGTTCATTTTTTGCTCTCTTTTCGAAAGTAGTTGCTCTTTTCTCGTATAAGCCCAGAGTGACAAAGGAATGCGGTAACTACCATGGGAAAAAGCAACCTCGTCCCCACGGTGGGGAAAATATTTCAGTCAAAAACTTGTCAAAAGCAAGAAAAGATTCTCTATTTTTAAGGTCTCTCATGTAATTTACTCATTTCTTGAGTTTTGACAAGATTAGTTTGTTCGCTTTATGTTTTATTTTAGATTTATTTCTATTTTTCAATTTTTGGACTTTTTGTAAGTACTTCATGTTATGCCGCAGCCCGCGGGCCAACATGATAAAACCTGCGTTCAGGCAAGACGAGTACAAATTTGGAAATTTGGAATTTTAGATTAATATTTTGTCACGATTTTCTGTTTACATGTCAATATTCTCTGTTCCTTGAAAGTCGAAATTCGCCTAACATGGCTTAGAAAGACACAGTACTGTAGAAAGCCGGCTTAAGGCTATTTAAAAATGAGCGAAGCAGACAGCAAATTAATCAACGATCAAAATAATGAAAAAAACTTACAGAGAGGAAATCATTTACTGGAATATTCTGAAGCGATAAAGCCATATTTTATGGATAGTTCTCTAAATTTCTCGCCGGCAGGGTCTGTATTCGAATCAGAAGACTGCGATGTGTCTGTGTTTGAAAACGATGAAAGTGGGGTCGAGAGTGTCGATGGCGACTGGCTTCAAGCATGCAACACTCCACCTTCAGAATATGACTTAGATCTGACAGAGGAACAGGCCCTAGAGACTTTGAAGTATTTTAGTAAGTTTGATTATAAGTATATAAAAAAACTTATATTTTTCCTAAATATTTTGGCTGTTATTTTGGAGATTACGTAATGTTGTGATATTTGATAATTGTTGAGTCATGAGGTAGGTCGGCCTGTGTTGTGTTTCCTTTCAACATGATGACATCACATATCCCCCCCCCCCTGGCATGGGAGCCTCGTTTTCATGAATCGTGAACAAGTAGCTTTTGTCCTGATTCATGATAGCGATACAGGGTTCCCACTAGAGTAGGAAGCTTTTTCAAAGAAGCAGGCAGCTATGTGGTGGCAAAGGTACCACTCACCTGGTGCGGGGATCCGAGGGCATCTCTCTGCGAAGAATCTGAAATTTAATCCCTCTGAAATGGCATTTCCAGCCATTTTGAAGAGTTAGATTTTGGAGATTTTATCCAAATATTTAATTAACAAAAAAAACTATTGTGCAAAATTTATGTTAAAAAAGCAGGAAACTTTCCCTTGACATTTCTGCGGTAAGGAGGAAATATTTTGGTTTGTAATTTCTGCAACTGTCTAGGCTGTAGATGGTGAAAATTCCTGGGTGGCGACTTCTGTTGGGAACCCTGGCGAGCAGGGTCTTAGCTAGAGGGCCGTGTTGGCCGTGTTATCGCGGCCAAAAGTGGAAAAACACGGCTAGATAAAATGAACGCGGCTTCACTATTTATATAAGGCCGTGTATAGGTTCATAAAATAAGGTGGTGCTACTTACAACAGACAGAATTTCTTCCTATTTACGTCAAGAAAGTTTGTAAAATCTACTGTTGTTGTTGAATTGGCAAAAGTGATCCGTGATGTTTTAATGTTTTGATGGATAATGGAAACTGTATGGTGTTAAAATGGTTTTAAATACCCCAAATAGTTGTTGAAATAACTTAATTGTCAGTGCACAATATGAGCGTATGCTCGCCTTGTATTTGGTTGCAAAGCATAGAACAACTACAGGCATTGTTGTTGGTGAGCATAACTAGAGCCATGATTTTGCTATTCAAAGTAATTGACATGTGCACGCCCTGGTCATTAGAAACACGCCCAAGATCTAAAATCCTAGCTAAGACCCTGCTGGCGAGGCTTCCAGACCCGGAAAGTAATTGTGACGTTATTATCGAAAGGGTGTATTTTGACCTTCAACTTTGTTTTGTAATAATTTATTAATCTGCTTTAATCTTATGATAAAAAAGTTTCTGGATTGAGTTAAGCTTTGTAAACATATCAAAGTTTGACTAAGCAAACATTTGTCCGTTCAAGGTCAACATTCAACAACTTTATTTGCAGAGAAGGTGATCTCACATATGAGAAGAGCACTTTCAGTTTCATTCTACCAAATCGTATATTTCAGCAAGGGTACTCTCATGTCCTGTATTGGACCTCTATAAGGAACAACACTTCAGAAGCAATCCGGTTTAGTTTTGTTTTGTTTACTGTGGTATGCAATTTCCTCAACTGTACAGAGAAACATAAGTTATTATTTACAGTAAGAAGTAACTTCCCATAACTATTTGAAATTAATTCTTGATTGTGCCGGTTTTCTTTCATGCACCAAGGTGATTTTTTAATAATCACCTTGAATATTAATTAGCTGAAAAGATGAAGGAAAACTCAGAAAATCGTCGTTCAAAGCAGACGAAGCAGACAAAACTTTGTTGGAAAACCTCCTCAATCAAGAATTAAATATGATAAACACCTCGAAAGTCAGGATTTAGTAAGAGTTAATTACCGAGAAGGAGGGCTTTATGCTATATATACAGCCCCGAGAATGTGAAGCGTTCGAGGGCTTTATATAGCATAAAGCCCGACATTCGAGGTAATTAACTGACTTATTTCATGATTGAAGAGGTTTTCTAACAAAGTTTTATTCTTTTTTTTCGATTTCGACAAGTATTTTTCTAGTTTTCTCGCTTATTTCTTGACTAATTAGGGCTTTATGGTATTCAAGGGCATTATGCTATATACAGCCCGCGGTACATCAAAGAAAACCGAGTCAATCATGAAATAATGTCAGATAATGTCCTCGGATGCTGTGTGTCCTCGGGTCATTATCTAACATAAATCCCTCCTCCTCGGTGTTTATCCTATACTGATGGCATTTTAACCACTTCTGACCAATTAATAGGCAAGGCACAAGGGTTATTATCAAACTGGGTTCATAAAATCACCTGGTTTCCTTGTCATTTAATGGACCAACTTTCAAAATTCAGATGGACTTTAAGTTATTTATGTTTAATACTTAAATATTGTGTGGATGTTAAAATTGAATCACTCATCACATACCCAATGAATGTTTGATCTGTAGAACATTCTAAACCAATGACATTTTCACACCTGAAAATATTTATTGAGTGAGAAATAAAAAATTGGCACGCCATTTCATAATTTGAAATTAACATGTGCCGTTATGGCTCTATATTGACATTTGACTGTCTAACACCTGCAGTCACTTTTACTTGGGGGAAAGTACTGGGCATTAATGGTCAGCTGAAAAATGTTCAAAAACATCTGCCTTGCTTAAAATTGGATTCACATGAAATAATAGGAATTAAAGCAAGGTATGAAGTCTTCAAAATGGATAGCTCCAATAGTGGATTACTGGACTTTTATCCTGAAATAAAGACATTCAAATATATATATATATATATATATATATATATATATAAGACTGGTCTTGTCACTAGTTAACACAATATGATGCTTCACATAAACTGTATTGGAACGGAAAGCGATTTCACAAATGGTGGGGGGGGGGGTGTGGTATTGAGATGAAGCAAGTAACCTTCCTACAGGGGGTCTGAAACCTCCCCCACCCCCAAAAAACACAAGCCTGGAAAGCGCATTTCCAGCTATTTCCCACAATAATTTTGTTTAAAGTAACCATGTGTATATTGCCCGATGATATAGGCAAATATATTTCTGTGGAGCACATGTCTAGCTGAAAAATTAGTGAAGATTGTTGCCGATGATTATCGTATCGTAAAAGAACATTTGCGTACACAAATATGTAACGGTCAAGCGCGGTGCCTGTAAGTCTAATATAAAGAATACCTCTTTGGAAATAAAAAAAATACTTGTATTTGAAGACGGCTTGTCTGTAATTTTGTCCAACTTGTGAAACTTCGAGAAGTGGTGTCACATTATAAAATATGCAAATACGAATGCTCTTAAGCCGCTTTTTAAGTAATTTTAACACATCTTAGCTCATTATTCAAATACACAATAGGATATTAATGCAATACTCTGCATAATTAGTTTTTCTGGTCGATGTTGTTTATATGATTTTTGCAGTGTCTGTGTTGTATTTAATCGAAGTGAATGAACCTCGGGGTCATCATATAGTGGCTTGGAAAAGTATCAATTAATGTAGAACGTCAGTTTCCAAAAGTTGGTTAAACGAAAAACGTATCGATTTTGTTCCTACGAGATGAAATATTAAAGATCTCAGTCTTAAATGGGTATAAAGTTTTCAATATTAAATATGCACAGGCTGCAGTTAAGTTAACATCTTAGTTAGCATTTCGCATGAAAAGACGAACTGTTACCGTTTAACATAACTAACGTTTTGTAATTGTTTCACATGAGTTAAACTGTAGCAAATTTTGATTCGGAGTTTTATTTTCTATTTTAATTAATGTTTCACCGTGGAACGTTGTTTCGTTTTGCTTTTTCACTTCTAATCGTACTTCCTTATAGTCATATATATATATAAAGCGAACAGAGGTTCAATTCGTTTCCTAAGAGCAAAACGTACTTTTAATCACGTACTGACAAGTATGTTATAAACTATATCTAGTGGCGGGAATTCAGTTTTTCCTGAATTTCTTACTGTTTACATTAATATTGGCTGTTCGTAACCTTTTTCAGTATAAAATATTCCGTTAAACGTTGCATGCAACTACAAAAAGGAACGATAAAAGTTAAAAACCAAGGGAAACCAAGGTTGCAAATACGACAGTAAACGAAGAACAAGGCGCAATTTCGTTTATTAAAAAATTGAACATACAGTTAGTATACTTGACTTATTCTTTCTATTTTGTTCATATACAAGCTGCGAGAAAGCATATTGTGATTATCGAGAATTGGAAGGAACGTTGTTTTGATCTTTTGAAACCATGGTTACACATTACTCATTAGTAACGTGATAATATCAGTCTGAGTAGATATTTTACATTAAGATAATTAAAGTTTAATTACCACAAACAAGAATAGAACGCGATCAAATAATTGTTATGTAATGTTTTTCCTTTTCCAAAAAGAACTCGCGCAGAAATGCGCTTGAAGTATGCGAAGCAATTTTACAAGCTTTTGGTAGATGGAATTTTCGAACGACAATTTTTGTACAATTTTAAACCTAACCAGGGCAGTTGTGAAAACTGCAACTATAGTTCCTCTGACAGGAATCGAACCTACGGCCCTGCGATTCTGATGCAGCGCTCTAACCAACTGAGCTACAGAGGCCAGTTGTCGAGCTCTAACCACAAGTTCTCGTATATATATACTAAGGTTTTGCATTTCCACTCAGGAAAATTTTCCGCAGAAAGAAAATTTTGTAAAATGTGATTGGCCAGCACAAATTTTCCGTCGGAAAAAAAATTTGAAGTTGAAAATTTTCAACTTTTAACGATAACATTTTCGGAAAATTTTCTGTCCGTGGGAATTTTTCTTGAGTGGAAATGAGCTTTAAGGTGTATGGGTTTTTGGCATCTTGTTCGATAAAACGGAATGTTGAATGGTTTTTGTAGTCGTAGATGGCAACTTCGACCGGAAATGATATACATTTTACACCTGAAGTACATGTTGTACATATAAGCATCGGGAAAAAATGGATGCTTCACCGGGGTGGGAATCGAACCCGCGACCTTTGGTTTGCTGGCCCAATATGCTGTACCAGTCCAATACTCTACCAACTGAGCTATGAGGTCATGTCGACTCAAGTGATTAGTGGTGTGGTTGACTATTTTGTGTGAAAAAGTTGCGTTTGTTCGATTGTATGTATTTTTTATTAATGAAGTGGTATATATGCTAACCTAACCGGGGATTCTTTCTATAGCTCTGTCGCTGTCTCGGGCCAATCAAATGACGAAGACGCATCAAGATCTGGAGGCAGTGTTGCAATTATTGCAAGAGGTATGCAACATGCGAATTAGTTCTCCATTTCATTGGTCTAACCTGACCGATATAGTGTAAATTTCCACTAATTTTGTCAATTTTTTTTATATAGAAAGAGAAAGATCTGGAGTTAGCAGCTCACATTGGCCAGGTTGGTGGTTTAATTCTTCCTCAACCCAGATATATATATACTATATTTTCTGTCATGTGTCATGGAATCGTTATTTTTTCCAATGTATATAACAATGCTTCACTATTTTTAGTCGTTATTGGAAAGGAACAAAAATTTGTACAAGAAAACGGAGGCATTAGAGACCTACGTGAATGAAGTCGAAGAACGGGTAAGAATACAAAGTCAAACCCAAATTAGAACAAGGGAACAAATACCCAGTTGTACTCTTTCTAAGTTTATACGGCGTTTGTCTCATAGGAAACCCAGCTAAAACACGTCGTCACGATGAAAGATAAATTACTAAAGACGTTCACTGATGAAGACCTGAGCGACACGGAAGATTATCCTCCAACAGATTCCAGGTATCTGACAAGAAGAATAGATCCAATACTAATGTTTGTGACAAACTTGTTGGTAATGAAATGAACTAAAAAGGGTTTATAATGCAAAGGATGACATTGCCTTATTATCCTGTAATTATAGAACAATCTATATAATGCTTTTTCGCGTCTGTTCTTCCTAAGTAACCTATAATTGAGTATTTACTTAATGCTTTTCTTTTGCATCAACTATCTTTGTGTCAATGTGTCGATAGTGTTGTATTCCAATGTTGTACTTTTGGAATTCCATTGTGTTGCCCATGTGATGACAGCAAAGCAATTGAGTTCGACTGTGGTAATATAGTTTTTTCATTCATGTATCTAGCTGAGCCCCCCGTGAAACGATGATGAGAGCGGCAACTCTCTTCAGGGACTCTCACGCATGTACTCTTGTCAACTTTGAGCTGGTTCTGATGAGAATTTTTACTCGTTTGACTGGTAATATCCAGTTAACTCTCATCAACTGTCACTCAGCTCATGTTTCCTTGGGGCATGAGAAAACTCCCACGGAAACTCTCGCTTCTCATCAACTCCCATCCTTGTTTGACCAGGGTTTATCTTCTTTTCATTATAGCGCGTACGACTCGTGTAGGGACGAATCAATGTTGAGCCTTCACGAGAAATGCAGCCAACTGGAGGACCACAACACTAGTTTGATTTTAGAAGTATGGAATATTGATTTCTTTTCCCTAACATGGGACCTGATGGGGTTGGTTGTATTTCAGACCGACAAGTGAAAAGATATATTGACTGATAGCTACCAAACAATGAAATACTAAAACTATAGTAACTTGGAACCAGTATCTTACACAGTATCTCAGCTGAAGGATGGCTTGAATTTTTGCTTATCAGCTGATAGAAAGACCATCATTTTGACCTTGTTAACATATATCGAAACATTTGTTTATGATACATTTTATCACTAGGCCTTGAAACTACGTGAAGAAACGGACAAAGAGGAAGAAAAGGAGAAGGAATTGGTTTATGAATGTATCAAAGAATTGGGTAGGTACAGCACAAAGATACGACACCACTATCTCAAAAGTATGGACTTGTAGACTGGATGCAGTATATATACTGGGACATCAATGACACAGCACCCGATAAGTTTCATTTGTAAATATGGTATTCAATCTAATAGCCTAGTACCTGGTATATTTAAACCACAGACTTGAGTTGGGACATTTAGTGATTAATATTTCAGTACGAAGTGATTCGACTTCACAAGGAATCATACAGGACGTTTCAGCTTACAATTGTCGTCAAAAAACATCCATTGTCACTATGTCGTCAAAAAACATCCATTTTTTCTAGCTGGTGCTAAGGAACAGATATCTTATTTGACTGACGAAATATCTATGAAAGCTGAAGATAACATTTCTCAACAGGTAGGCATATCATCCTTGTATCGTACGAGAAACAGTTCAACGATCTAATTTATGGACTCTATAATCTTGGCTCTCATGTCCTTTGTGTTAATGATTTTTTTATGATTTGTGACGAGTTTATCCCTTGGCCAGATACTTAGTATATTTTTCAATAGGAAGAAATTTCCAAGCTGATTGAAACGGTATTGGGATTACAGCAAAGACACAATATGGTAAGAAGTGGCAATACATTTATGGGAGGATTCTTTGTAATTTTTGCTAAAACTTGCAATAATAATCCTCTTTCAGCTCACTGAAGAAAACGAAGGGCTACATGAAACTCTGAAAAATTCACAAGAAAACCAAAAAGACCTTAAAGTTGAGGTGACGACTTTACATGAAAAGTATCAGGAGTGTTTTGAAATGTTATTGGAAAATCAGGTAAGCCCGTTTGATTTAATATAATTTAATTTAATCAGTTGTCACAACACAATCATTACGCATACATCTACAATAAACAGAGGACACAAGTGTGACTGGAGAAAGGAACATGACTTGTGTCTCAATTGACACCTGACCCCAACATTATAACTGGACTTTGCTGCTTGTTGCACACCGAGCACAATGACTTTCCTCATGATTTCGTGACGAAAGTACTGCAGGTACACATACAAATTCTAGTCAATCGTAAGCGAATATCAATATTTCTAACTTTTTCTCGAACAAATCACTAGCCAAAACTAAAAAACTTATAACCCAAAACTTATTTGCGAGTTTATATGTGAGTGTACAAGACTCTTGAATCTAGAAGATTCCATGATGTCATGTAGTTTCTCTTCGCTTCTTGGTGTGACCAAATGTTGTATTTATTATTGTAGCGTGAAATGAAAATGATGAAAGAAAAATTGGGGTGAGTGTGTGTTTGTATTTTCAACTCAAAAAAGGATCGAAGAGATAATACGGATGTTTACGAAACTATAATGGTCCTCTAGTTTTCATATGTTATGACAGCAGTCGATGATACATCCTTTCCGGAAAGTACGTCACTTTGGCACAGCCTCGCTTTCGTGTATGACATTAGTTAAAGTCCAAGGTCATGTACTTTCCGGAAGCGTGTATTGTTCTTGTGTTGTTCTGATGTAACTCATTAAACTTTCCAATACAGACCTTATATACCCCATGCTTGCAGTTATATCGCAAAATCTTAGCAGCGACGAGACTCTCACTTAGATTAGAGAGCTCTTGCAGCGATTGTTTTTGCACTTATACCACTAAAAATGAAACTCACCGTTTTAAACTGTCTGCTTGTTCAGCTCTCGGAAAAGTACTGGGGAAGAAGGAGCGGGAATATCACGTCCAGATCCACGCGACTCGCTGGCTCAGGAAATCGAGGAGTCTGTAAGAAGAGATATAGAAACATCACAAGAGAAAAAGTAAGATGTAATTTGACTATTGGTAGTCCCCCCCCCCCCGGGAGGAGGGTATAGTATGACTTGCAATGATATTGGCACAGTTTGCCCAAGGGGGGAGGGGGGGGGGGCGATTACCAAATCATTTCAACTAGTTTCTACAGTGAGCCAAGATAAAGATATTTTTTCATTACCAACAAATTACTCATAAGGGTTATCTCTTATTGATCCAAGAGAAAAGTGAAAACCTGAGCTAAACGTATTTTATATTCAGGTCAACCCTGTCAGTTCCCAAATTGTCAAGTCCAGTAAGTCCATTCCTCCTCGGTGTAGTGATAGCAGCGAAAACCGTAGCACACAACGAAACTTGCGGTGTTTGCCTGTTTGGTAGTCTGACTCTACTCAGGCCAAAGTGGATAAATTCTTCTATTAATATTCACACATGTTCTACGTTCTTTACGTGTACTGTGGGTGTCACCGACGACAACTGTGCTACTGTATGTCCTATACAGTATTAAGAAATTATTGTTTAATTTAGGAAGCACACGGACCGTGTTATGCAAACAGTGCGTGCAGCAAACACCAAACGATTTCCGAAGGCGATCAAAGGAGGCACACGACCAACTAAGAGTACTAAAGCTGGACAGGTCAAAGAATCAAAACCGTTTGATTTTAGTTTTGCCACAGCACCTCGAGTTGAAGAAGGGAAATCTGCGCCAAGTATGGATGATTTGAGGGCAGCCGTGAGGAGACTCAGTGTCACTGATAATAATGGTAAGATTTCAAATGTAGATTTGTATATCATTAAAGTGCTGATGTACAACACAATTGTCCAATTTCTACTTGAGATAAATCATCTGTTAAGACCGCTGATCAAGACTCCGTCTGCATGAGAAAGATCATTCGTCTTAAGCTTGGTGTAAAGACAAGGATGTTTGTAGATTGTATTGATGTGGAGGTGGTTTTGGGATTTGTTATCCAGCAACTCTAAGCTTAGATAGCCAAACTCCACTGCCTCTGAGTTGGCTTTAACTCCAGAATTGTTAATTCAAGTTCTAAAGCGCGCATTTTGAATTTAGAGTCAGCCCATTAAGCCCGTTCTCCACTAGGCGATTTTTTTCGCGCGGCGCGAAGCGAAAAACAAATCTTGGCAATGTGATTGGTCAGAGAAAAAATTCGCCGCGAAAAAGTTGGATCAGTTCCTACTTTTTTACTGTTCGCGCGAACAAATTCGCCTAGTGGAGAACGGGCTTTAGACTGTGGATGTAGCGTCGTTCTACAGCTCCCTAACTTCTGTGGCCATGATTAGACAAATACATTACAAAACGGACTATAGGTGGAATATAGCGATCTATACTGACACTGCTTCTGGGAAGAAATTATGCCTCATATTTTCCTATGTGTACGTATACGACATCAGATGATTTATGAAGATGAACTACGTATTCAAGTGTGTCTGAGTAAGCAGAACTACAGTATATGCATGTGAAGTTTCTGCAGATCGAGCTACGCATAAATGACTAACTGCGTTTGTACACAGTTGAATTATTTTTAAAAAATAACTTTCTTTCCTTTCCTAACAGCACCTCAAGGAAGAGGCAGGCGAGCATGGGCGCCAGAAAAATTGCAAATTGTGAAGCCATTAGAAGGTATGCAAGACGTGTTTAAGAAAATTGATCAAGATGAGGTGCCTCACCACAAAGATATATCACATTTCTCAGAATGATCCAAATATTACGCATACCAGAACCTCGATCAAACGAGCTGATGCAATTGTTACAGGGGACATTGTATTTTATTCAAGTTAAAACATAGTTGGAACACTCATCAAACTTTTATTTTGTTAATCTAGAGCTTGAAATGTCCCCTGTAACAATTGCATCTGTCATGATAGTGTTGGGAAAGCATTAAGAACAGTTAAACCACAGAGGTTAAACCAAGGTCGTGCGCCTGCCAACTTTCATGCACTCTCATCCTCGTTTTATCCGAGCTAAAATTAGCACTTTAATCGGGATTGGTAATGACGGCAATAGCTGCTGGGGGTCGTCTCCTAATAGCAGCTCTAGTAGCACCTCAACAGAACTAACTGATTTTGTCTCCTGTTCGTAGGATCCGCGACATTACACAAGTGGCAGTCTTTAGCTAAACCATCTATGAGTGGTCTACACAGTGTCGTGCCAGGAGTGCACGTGAAAGGCGAGATAGCACGAAAAGACAAGACTAAGCACGAAACGAACCAGGCTAGCACGAATAAGAATGGAAGCAGCACGAAACAAGAAGAGATGGACACGAAACTTAGAGAAAACGCAAAAGATAAAACAACGCAAAGCACTTCTAAAAACATTTCAAGTAAAGTTACAAATAAAAAGACTAATAAAGAGAACAAGCTTTTAGATAACTCACAAGGAGGGGTAAAAACAGAGCAAGTAGACACGTCATTACCCAACAACAGTGAAGTGACTGAGAAAGACAAAGCTACAACCACAACTACGACAACAGTAGCAAGTAGTAACCCAGTCCAGACAACTGTTGATTCGAGTAACACTAATATGAGTGCCACCTCAAACCTCACTGAAATCGTAAAGTCAAAACTGTCTGCTGAAAATATCTTGTCTCCCAGTAGTGAATCTGGTTCAATACTAAACACAATATTTCGTAGCACGGTTGGGATAAATTCAGGATTCATCTCGTCGACTCCTGTGACTACGATAGCAAAGTCTTCATTTGTTACTATGACAACCACAACATCTTCATCAATGTCCGCCAGTGGTTTCCCCCGACCTCGTCACGTTAGAAGTCGCAGTAGTGAGAACCTGTTAAGCTTGATCGCACCTTTTAACCAGAATGTGGAATCCACTAACACAAGCTCTGAAAGTCTTGGGGCTGCACCTAGCCTGCAATCAGGTGGAATTGGCCTGGGGAGCTTTGTCGGAAGGTTGGTGAGAAGTTCAAGTAATGAGAATTTAGCGGGAAGCGCGGACAATGAACTTGGGATACCTCGTAGTGCAAGTAGTGGCAAACTTAGCGATTTACTTAAGAACTCGGACATTGCACAGAATATTGGAAAAGCATCAAGTATTGACAACATGCAGAAATCATCAAGCATCGATATGCAGAAAAAGCGTGCCTCCTTCCATTTGGGCGACTCACCACCATCAGCACCACAGCTTGAAATGATGGGTGACCTAGGGGGATTTGCTTTCATGAGTGGTGGGGGAAACTCTAGTCCCCCAGCAAATTCTAGTCCCCCTGCAAATGAACCCCCTGTGCTACCAGCTACTAGTAGTAAAAGATCAGTATTCGATGCATTCTCTGGTCTAGGAGGGTTCTTCCGTCGACCTCGCAGTAAGAGTCTGGACAACTTGGGCCCTCTACCCACGAGCATTACTGGACCTCGGCCTGTTCCAAACTTTCAGCGTAAGGCACCGGTTGAACGTAGTTTAGAACGGTTTGATCAGGTCTTTGGACCTGGCTGATTGTGAATGTGTTTTAGGTAGTTGTGTGAATTAATACTAAATAACTTGGATAAGAAAGCATGCTTTTGCAAGGATTTGATAAACATTATTGAAACACTATTATTTAATGGAGGACTGTCACAATCTCAGACAGCGAGTATAGTGACCACTACTCTAATTAATGGCATATATATAATACGGCAAAGGTCTCAAACAGCAAACCACCTCTTAATTAACAAACATATAAACAGTGGTTTCACCTTATCAGTATTATTGAAAGGAAACAACAAAAGATATTTCACAGTGAAAATAGGTTAATTAACTGAAAAATCTAAGATTAGATTTACCTCAAAATGTTGATTGTCACAATCATGTTGACATGGATAACTGAAATAGATAAAGAATAAATGTTAACCTTAATTATCTAAAATTCATTTCAATTCTTAAGATCTTGTTAAAATGTTGTCTAAGATCTCAAACATTCAGTTTGTTCAAATCCTTGCAAAGGCATTCCTTTCTCATTTGCTTATTTAAAGATAAATATAATTATTATATTAATACTTAACAGTGCAAGAATTGAATATATTGTGTATTTGTGTTTATAAAACATATGTGAAAATATGAATGGATAAATATTTGTGTGTAAATATATATTGCAAGTTTATACATACAGAAAATGGCTTGAATTTTGTGCTGTGTGTTATTAGTTAAATTAACCCAGTTAACCCATTAAGCTGCAGAGCTTCCCCATTGACGAGTAAAATCGTCTGGCATTATAGACAAGTAAAAAAAAAGTAGGGTGCATTGCGGCTCAATGGGTTGACTAGAGACATTGTCAGATTTTTTGTTAACCCATTAAGCTGCAGTGCTTCCCCATCGATGAGTAAAATCGTCTGGTGTTAGACAAGTAAGGCTAGATAAGTGGGGTGCATTAAAATGGGTTAAACATAAGAAAATATTCAGGTCTGTGCTATTCATATCAGCCACTATCAGGGCTGTAGCTAGACCGATAATTGGGGGGGGCATATTCATATATTTGTGTTCTGCCCGACAAATTTCTTTTGAAAGCGATTGTGTTTTTATTAATGTATGTGAACATGAATATATGAATATACACCCCCCCCCCCCCCCCCCCCC